CTAAGGACTGGAACCGGTTCTTCTCCACAATCTTCCTCAGGGTCCGGTCACCTCTTCTCGTTGTGCAGCGTTTTCTGCCACACTTTTTCCTTCCTACTGACTTCCCACTGAGGTGCCTTGATATAACACTCTGCAAACAGCCGATTCGTTCAGAAATTTCTTTCTGTTTCTCACCCTCTTGCTTGAGGATGTCAGTGATGGCCTTCTGGACAGCAGTCAGGTCAGCAGTCTGACCCATGATTGCGGTTTTGAGTAATGAACCAGGCTGGGAGTTTTTAAAGGCCTCAGGAATCTTTTGCAGGTGTTTAGAGTTACTTTGTTGATTCAGATGATGAGGTTAATTGCTCGTTCAGAGAACCTTTTCATGATATGCAGATTTTTTGAGACAGGGATTTTGGGTTTTCATGAGCTGTTTGCCAAAATCATCAGTATTAAAACAATAAAAGACCAGAAATATTTCAGTTGGTGTGCAATGAATCTAAAATATATGACAGTTTAATTTTTTATCAATGCATTATGGGAAATAATAAACTTTATCACAATATGCTAATTTTTTGAGAAGGACCTGTATTTGGAGGAAAACCAGGATAGGAAATATTGGAAATATTGCTTTCAAAAGACTTGAAGAACTATTGTTTTTGTCTAAATCAAAATAAGGCCAAGGAAATGCAAAAAATTTCCACTCTCCAAACTGGAATAGCTTCTTTCTCTACCGTCTCTGTTTGTTATGAGGATGACAGATTTAGATCAGAAAGTCGTTTTTCATGTTCACACACGTCTGGAAGTGAGACATTGCTGAGAATGCCATGCTCTTTTTTTCCCCTCTGCCTATTTATAATTGTTTCTTAGTGATCCAACTGAGGTTTTGTGTCACCCATACCATCTTTAATTATGTATTTCATGTTCAAGAAGAAAACAAGGACTCTCCGCCAGTGGCCGATGCGGGTTCTGACATAGTGGTCCAACCTAAGGAGAACGTGACACTGAGCGGCTTCCAGAGCAGAGATGAACATCCGCAGTCTTTAACCTTCACTTGGGCCATGGTTACCATTTACCCATATGCGATCATTGAGGTGAGAAAAGCAACATTAATTTCCATCCTGTTATTGCCATACTTAATTTACAATTTTGCAAAATGTCCCCTGTACCTTATTCTAACAACACTGCTGAGACCGTAATTGAGTAACTCAACATTGTCCTCCTTATTTTTGCAGAAATCAACCTTTCCTGACGAGATCATTGTGTCCAATCTAACTTCTGGAAAGTACAAGTTTAGCCTGACAGTCACGGACGCTGCTGGTCAGTCAGACAGCACTATGATCAACGTCTTGGTCCTGACCGCTGAGGAGTCTGAGCGTGAGTGTCTCCTCTTTATTCTAAATTTTATAACTCTGTAGATTGCTTGTTTTGTACCCAGGTAGGAGGTGGAGCTGTTTAATGTAGCAAAAGATGCATTTTTAGAAAGTACTATCTATTTAAATTATGGGTGGCATTTAAATATTTGTATTTATCTTTAATATGTATGAACGTATTTAATGGCAAAGAAAATAAATTGATACACAGTGTTTTAGGTAAGTCATTATGATCTGGAAGTAGTAACGAGTAAAAATGTAAATTGTTGGTACAAAATGAGACTATGAATTGAGAGAAGGGAATAGAAAGAAAAGGTATGATATCCCCGTTACACGTTATTGTTTCATGTTATTATTTATTGGTAAATTCAGACAGTATTCTTCACAGTTTTCCCTCTCACCATTTTGTACCTTTGTATTTAAGATCATTTTGTGTGTGACTGCTAAGAGGCGTTTGTCCTGACCTCAGACATTTCAGACATGCCTTGTCGATGTTTCATATCCACATTTAATGTCACGTGGTTCCCTTCTGCCTACCCAAGCCTTCACATATAGCTCATTTACCCCACTATGTCCTAAAAGACAAGCCATATTCAATTAAGACATTGAAAAATGTTTTAATTCTTAAATTATGCTTCAATCTTTTGTAAATTAAGCTTTTTCTGTTGGGGAAAAAAAAATTTCATCAGTCTGGGAAGGTGTGTGTGTGATTGAGAGGTCTTCTGAACTAAATAAAGTGTGATACGAGTAGAAGCCATTTACCATAAATATGCAGAAAAACACATTAAATAGGCAAAATCAGAGAAACGGTTCGATGGCACGCACGTGCTTAAGAAAAAGAGGAAATGATGAAATAGTTTGCTTTCAGAAAAGTGATAAAATGGGAACAAATGCTTAGGAAATGTAGTTACTAATGAGCACAGAGGTGTTCGTCATTGATGTATTGAGAGCAGGATACAATTTAGAGTATGTTTAAGGAACTAACCCCCAGGGTTTCGGGTGGTGCTAGTTGACTTTATGTGTTCAGGCATTTCTCCCGTCTTACCTCGCTTTTTATGTTGAAATCTCCATGGCACATCTAAACAACTCTGATTTCTCAAGCTTTTCTACTTGTATGTTTCATGTTGTTTAGCCATAGCGTTGCTTGTGCCAAGATGGAAGGGTAATTTCCCATCAGCTTGATTTTTCTGTTTTTCTGGTTGTTGTTTGCATGTTTCTGCGGGCTGAAGGATCCTCATGTTAGTTGGAACCAAACGAGTTCAGACATGCTCGCACACAATAAGGAAGCAGAGATAAGAGCTTGACTGGTTAGATGATTATGCAGTAAACTGACATTGTACAGGAAACAAAACAGATCAGCTGACGGTAGGATGCTGCCTTTAGCATGGAATAACTGAATAATTCAGATTACTTCCTTTGAAATGGGTTCCGTTGAGAAAAAAGAACGTAGTATTACAGTCGGTATGTTGTTTTTTTTTTTTGTTTGTTTTTTTTACTGATCCCCTGATACCATCTCTCCACCCCCAACTCAACAAAGCTTGTCTGTCTGGTTTCAGGTGGTTACGCAACAAGACTTTTATCATTGTTGCTGTGTGAACTGAATAAAAGTGAACAGTAGTCTTAACTCTCAAAATTCTGTTGACTTTATAAGTACCAGAAATGTCCCACCCACACTGAAGATCAGTAACCTATTAATAGTTTTTCAGTCCCTTAGTGGAAAATCTTTATTGTGTCTTTAAATTATTTTTTTGTGGTGGCATTTCTCTGAAATGTGTTGCAAAAGCTGCTATTTAAATGAATGCTGACGCAGAGAGTGCATCATTAACTACACGGAGATTACCTCAATCTGCTTTTCTCAACATTCTTTTGTTTTCAAAACACACCACTTCATGATTTTGTTTTACTTTAGTGCGTGTATAGCAGTTGCATAATATTAAAATGGGAACTTGGTAGAAACTTTGAAGGAAACGAGCCCCATGTCTGGTACCTTGTTCTACAGGAATATCATGGGTTAATCACATTGGCCTAACCTCTTGCCTTTATCATTTTCTTTTTGCTGACAATGTGACATTAGGGAACAAAAAAACTGAACTCGGGCAAATCTCTACAAATCAGAATAGCATCTGAAAGTGCAATTATTTTGCCGATTTGATTCATACACACAGTCACCTCATTGCCCAAGTTCTATAGAGAATGAATGGAGAGGGACATTCTAAATTAACATTTAAAACTAAAAGACTTCCTGTAAACCTTTCTGAATATAAAAACTTGGAAAAACTTAGGATCGGCAGACAGGGTTGAGACAATAAAACATTTTCTTAAATGTTTTTGAAAGCGTCCATAGAGTGGCATTTTTTGTTGTTGTTATGGGTTATTAGGCAGTCACCCAGAGCAACATCTGAAAGGGGAGGGGCACCACAGAACTAAAAACTTTCTGCTGCAAATAAAACAATGCACTTTAGGCATTTTAGGGAGTTGGAGTGCAACAGAGGAAGGGGCTTTCTCAAGGCACCATTCCTGCAAGAACCATGACTGTGTTTTATATTTATTTTTCAATCTTACAATGTTAGGCATTGTGATTAATCACAGAGCTAGAGTGTGATTAATCTGATTCCATTTTTTAAATTGACTGATAGCACCAATATATACATAATCTCAAGTTTGTGTTTGTGTGTGTACATGATGGCGGCATGTGTAAGTGCAGCAGCTCTTTGTTCTCTTGAAAATGTGTATTTTTCTTTATTTCTTATTATTTGAATCGTTATACCACTATTTTGGAGTTGCATCCTGGTTTTTGCTGAGCTGCTTCAGTTCAATGATAACAATGGCCTTCATCCATTCTGTCTTTCACTTATGTCAAAATTAGGTTGGGGTTTCTGGTTCTGCTGGAAAGGAAATTGACAGTGTATGCCTTGTAAATTTTCTCCAAACCTTTGAAATAGCACTTATCCCTGTTGCTTATGCACACTTTTTACGATGCCTTTTCCTTCCTCGCTACTTTCCATTGGAATGCTGGGATATACAATCAGCCATCTTCTTTAACATTGTGACTTAGCCTCCTTTTGCAGGGTGTTGCTGTCTGTCGGACAACTCTCAAGACAATAGTTCTCTTCGTGATTATGTAACTTATTAAACTGTCCATTGCATAAATTCTATATTAAAAAATAATTTTAACATTTTCTTAAAGACAGAATTTCGGGTTCTTATTACCTGTAAGAAACATAATTTACAGAAATATGTTACTGAATGTTAAACTTATTCAGAGGTTTCACTTTATGATATAAATTACAAAAAAAAAAAAAAAAAAAAAAAATCAGGGTTTGTTTTTTTTATATAATATTCTAGTTGAGATGTAACTGTTAATAAGTTTTTGACTTTGTGAGTAAAATTATATGACTAGAGGTTTAATGCAGTTTGTCAACTGTGTGTGTGTGTGTGTGTGTGTGTGTGCTTTAGCCTTGATCCTAAGTCTTTAAATATTGTCCCTCCAGACCACTGCATGGTTCCAAAGAAAGTCGGTCCGTGCCGCGGTGCATTCAAACGCTGGCATTACAACGCTGCCTCAGAGAAGTGTGAGGCGTTCATGTTTGGGGGTTGCCTGGAGAATAAGAACAACTACATTAAAGAGGAGGAATGCCGGAAAGCCTGTCATGGCACAGGTAGTTGTTTTTCTTATTTTTTACTTTTTTTTTTTTAATCAGCTTTTTCCCTATTAAAAAGATGATTACTTAGTAATGTAATAACCAAGTAATGTGTTTCTTAATTGCAAATACTGCAGGTTTTTCC